TTGGAAGGCTATTGCCTAAGGTAGCCGATAAACCTTTCTCTTTGTTCAAGGCAACGTGACTGGTGCGCGTTATGTTGTTGACGTCCTACAAACCACTTTAGTGCTTTATCTAGAGGGTCACCTACACGTCCTTTGTTATCAAGACAACGCACCGTCCCCGTATTGCTCTTCAAGAAGCAGGCGTTAATGTTTTGCCGTGACCACCATGTTCACCGGATTAAAATTCGAAGTTCTAGTTGCTTGAAATAAGGTGCAACAACCAAACATCGATCATCTCATTTTGTCGATGCCTAGACGTATACAGGGGTGTATGTAGCTGCGGGGTCGCCCAACACATTATTAACTTTTTGTTTATTACTTGTTACTAAAATTTCGTGAGAATGTAAGGCAACCTCATTGCCAAAAAATCAAGTTGAAGAAATTATTTGTTCTGGGTGTAACACTTCTAATGTTACTGTGTATATTTCAAGTTGTTTTTTGTCTTAGTTTAGTCAAGATAAACTCGGTTAGATACCAGTTATGGCTAAGGGAGGCGCAACGAACTGGTTGTATTTTTTTTTTGAAGCGTTTGTTGCAGGGCTTGTACCAACAAAGGTATCCCTATCAGTGTTCACTTTATTTCAATACATGCAGTGATAATTATCCAATGTGTACTCCAGATCACATGAAAGCTTTAAAGAAAACAAGTGCCATGAGAAAACTACGCGATTATTTAAAAGAAAATGCTACATAATCAAAATAGTTGTACTGCAAAAAAATGAAGCTATAACTTTTATATATTCTTTGCTATAACCCCTCAAAGAAGTATTCCATTGTTGCCACCCTGACTCTAAGCATACTATATCCCAAAGTAATAAGTGAAAGAAATTTCTACAACTCCATAGTAAGCAATCGTTGACTCACCAAAAAGTATCCGTCCTGCTGCAAGGCCTACCTGAAACAACAATTGGAGGTGTTGTAAAAGTCTTTATTACGTTGAATAGCTTGAATTTGCTTGAGTCGCATCAGAAGTATTATAAGCCTAACTAACGTAGTTCATTATAAAAACTCCTCTTATGGTTGGAGTGTAATCGTCTTGCTAACGGCTCGAGTATTAGTAAAATCCTGTTAACTACATCAAAATCTTATGTTGGGAGTATAGTCTAATCATATTAGCGAATTTCCCCGAAGTAATTGTAAAGTCTGGTTTTATTAACGCAATTTGTCAAGGGGTATTTAAAACATTGACGCATAAAATGGGTACACCGATTTTTGTGGGAAAACTTTTTTATATAACACAGAATGAGTAAACGTCTTTTTTGGGATTCAATCGAAAGTGTTGGCAAGAACCAAAAAACTCTTCAAATAAGGTTTTTAGCTATTTACGTGACCTATGGAATGAAACTACATGTAAAAAGATCCCATGGGACGATATATATTACATCAGTAACTTAGAGGATAAAGCTACGTTTTTTTCTAATCATATTTTGGATTTGTTTGATGTCCATGCTCCTGTTGTTTCATCACGTATTACTAAACCTTATGCTCCATGGCTCACAGGTGGCATAAAATTTTTGATCTCCGAGAGAAATAAAGCCTTTAGAAAATATCAGATTTTAAAAAGTCCAGCTAGTCTCGAATATTACCAGAAATTAAGAAATGATGTCATTTCCGCTATTAGGCGGGAGAAAGCAGCATATCTAAGCTTCAATGAACAACTAAATAGTAACAAGCATCTCTGGAAAGCTGTACATTCATTGAAACTCAAAACTAATGTAGACAGATCTTTACCTACAGAGTTGAAGAATGCCGATGAAGTAAACAATTATTTTTCTTCCGTTTTCACGCCTTCGGGCAATTGCAAGGATCTAGTTGATAAATTTAATAGTACCAAAATTAATGAAAGTGCTAGATTTGAATTTAGTTTTGCTACCCCTCAAAATGTGCTAGACATTATTCTGTCCCTAAAATCTAATGCAGCAGGTTCGGATGGTATAACAGTCTCAATGCTGAAGCTTTGCCTGCCTCGAGTATTACTACCCCTGACGCATTTATTGAACTGTTGCCTGGAGGCTGGGTATTTCCCTGATGCTTGGAAACTATCTCTTGTCAAACCCTTGCCTAAATGTAAAAATCCAAAATGTCTCTCAGACTTAAGACCTATAACTTTGATTCCTGTTATATCGAAGATATTGGAGAAATTGATTAAACATCAGGTTTATCATTATTTCTCTAATAATGGTTTCTTTCCCAAGTATCAATCTGGTTTCCGCAGTGGTTTTAGTACAACTTCAGCTTTAGCAAGGGTTTTAGATGACACCATTGCTTCGCTTGATAAGGGAGATGCTTCAGCACTTGTATCATTAGATTATTCTAAGGCGTTCGATAAAATAGATCATGAGCTTTTATGTGCTAAATTGAAGTTTTTTGGTTTTTCAGACATACCTCTAATGTTTTTTATAACATATCTTTCAAATCGTAAACAAGTAGTAGAGATAGACAACACTATATCTAGTCCGATTGATATAACAGCAGGTGTCCCTCAGGGTTCAGTTTTAGGGCCCTTGTTGTACTTAATTTATACTATAGACTTGGGTAGCTCTGTGAAAAACTCTTCTGTGATGTGCTATGCCGATGATACACAGATATATAAGGGCTTTAATAGTAACACTTTGCATACTTCAATCAATGAGCTTAATGATGATTTGGAGGCAATGTAGGATACTCAAATGGTAACAATCTTAAGCTCAATAAGGATAAGTGCTCAGTGATGCTTTTTTGTCCTGCTGTCAAACGTAACACTATATTGTATTCTCTTGATGTAAAAATTGACTAGGAGCGTCTAGCTGTCGTAAATAATACAAAAATTTAGGGTTGATTATTGATTATACTTTACGGTTTAAGGAGCATGTTTCGTCTATCTTAAAAAAATGTTATGCAACGTTGAAGTGTTTTTATATCAATCGCTCTATTTTGAATTTTAAAGTTAGAAAAAAGTTATGTGAGGCTATTGTATTTCCAAGCTTATTTTACTGTAGCACTGTGTTCTATCATTGTCTTGATTCTGTCACAAAAGCAAGACTCCAAAAACTCCAAAATACTTGTTGTCGATTTGTATTTAATCTCAAGAAGTATGATCATGTTTCCTTAAAGAGATTTCAGCTTGGTTGGATGTGTATAGAAAATGCTTGCAAGTACCATATAGCAGTGTTTACACATAAGATCATATCTTCTAGATCCCCCTTGTATCTTTATGAGAAATTTGTTTTCAGACGAAATAATTCAGGCATTGATTTCAGACACAAAAAAAGACTAGAGATCCCTATGTACATATATAAAACAACTTTATTTCGTAGTTCATACACTTACAATGCTATCCTGATTTATAACGAATTAGATGACAATATAAAGTTCGCTCAAAGGGCATTTTATAGCGGAATACACGAATTTACCTTACCGACATAAAATCACAAACCATTCCGAAAGATAATTGTTGTTTTTACGGGAAAAACGAAGGGAAACAAATTCAAACATTTTATATTTGTGAGTAGTTGAACAGATTCGCTACGATATTCGAAAAACATACGTTATTATACACATTTTAAAACAAAGCGGATGTATCCATCACCTTTTGTTGCGAAGAAAACAATTTTTTTTCAAGACTTCTTCATACTCTTGTGTATATACATTTACAGCTGAAATTTTTACACAGTCACAGATTAGGCCGAAGATTTATAAAAAAAATAATCATACTGGAATACGCTGAACTGTTTATAAAGTTAGGACGCAAAATGAAGACACAATTATGTTTCAAACTGTCTTAGACTAGGTAGTTTGTAGCATGTGCTAAATGACTGCACTATTGATGACTGCATGACTTTGTCAAATGAGTAGGTCACGTAATCCAGTTTCTTCACGAAGAAATATAATTCCCTGGACCTTTTTTTTTAAAGCCTTAATATAGTATGCATCTGTTTTCGAAATCTCGTACGATTAAAATGACAGTGGGTTCAAAATATTGGAAAATAAACTCGAGAAAAAACAGAAGACAAATATGAACCAGTGGTGAACTTAGGCAAAATGCTCGGTATTAGTTCCCTTAAAAGTTTCAGTATTGTATCTTGTATGGTTTTCAAGAGCATTCAAATTGTTTATAACATAATTGATATAATAATAATAATAATAATAGACGTCTTTATTTATCCACAATTACATTGTAGTATAGCCAAATGTCAGACTTATATGGCGAAGTTTAGCATGCTGCTACTCTTACACTTAACCATATAGTCTCTAGCAGATGTTCAAAAGAATACACTATCCACAAACAGATTTGGTTTATTACATCGAAAGTAAAATTTAAAAAAAATAAAAAAGAAATGAATGATTACGTAAATTATATGTTTGGAGGATTGAGTAATAATGGTTTAACTTTTTGTCGAAAGACAGGTAATGAAAATTCTTTTATACTTTAGGAAGGTCATTATAAATAATAAATAATACCAACCAGATCAAAAAAACCCCGCTTGTTCACTTCTCAGCCAAATTTTGTTGCGGACTCCAGACTGGTACAGAATTTAGACACTAGACTAGACCATAAACGACTAGACTATACCTTCTTCAAGTTACAGATTTTTTTATGAGACACCTTATTACACCTTTTCAAAGACTGCTCAAGTCGTCTTGGGGGGGGGGAGGGTAATTACCCCTTTTACCCTCCGTGGAAGCGCCAGTGACATATGGTACCTCTCGTGATTCCTTATGCTAAGAGTCCTTTAAGCGTATCTCTCTCCTTGCTAGTCACTATCACCGCAAGGACGTCAGCATAGTGAATTCGTAGAAGGCAGCGGCTCTAATACGGAGCCCTGCGGTACTCCCGTGGTTACCTTCAGATAGTAAACATTTGTGTTGGTGGAATTTGAGCCCACATCCTTGATTCTGCTTATTGTTTCTTCTTCCATCTACACCTGTCACCGCATATACGAAATTATGGAGAAACGCTATGTATGATGAGGAGATTAATATATACAATAAAATAACAGCCGTTTATTGATAATGCAAAGTAATACTAATAAAACTATTCCTTCAATCTTGCTCATAAAGTCTTCATACGGTTAAACGTTGTCATCATATATTCCTAATATACTTTTGCATTTTGTTGTCCTGGAAGCATCAGTTGTAACCATTGTACACAACAGCTTTTTTCGACACGTGTGATCACAGCCTCTTTGGTATGCCCAATCACTGTCCCTGTACGTATACCTGGAATTGATAATAGTTATTTATCTAGGGCGTGAGGAGGATGATCATGGTCTGTGGTTATGATGCAGGGATATACAGACTTCGAAGTTGAGTCATTTATTTTAACAGTGAGTAGATCTGATCAAAAGAAATGTTTTTTTCCTTTACCATTTTTCTGGTAAAATTAAAGTAACAAAGTTATAGCCCTTTGGAAGTTTGAGTACCGCCCTGTCTCAATAATAATATCATGTGCTCGTGTTTGGCAACAACGGATATAATCCGTCTTATCGGTTCATCGCATCGGAAACAAAAAAGCGAAAGAATTTGGAACGATGTTTTTACAATTATTTCATTCAGTTCAGTTATACATACAGTCAGTGTCAGTCGAAGGGTTTATCTCTGGTCAGTCGGTAACGCGTGTAAATAGTGTCTGTTGCGTGGCTCAAACGAAATAAAAAATGGCACATGTTTATGCGGATCGGTTTCCCAATCGAGTGCAACCAACCCCTCGTGCCTTTGTTAATGTAGTACAACAGGCTCGTGAATCAGGTGACTTAAGACCTCACAGGGGACCTCACGATCAAATACAGGTCCGCACTGAAATACTTGTCGGGAGGATACTTTATTAAACAAGGTAAATTTTTTTTTATTTTTTTTTTATTTTTACACACATATTTTATTTCTACAATCATTATCTGAAAATTAATGACTCAACTTCAAAGTCACCCTGTATGTAAAATTTATCTACGATTGTTTGAAATAAAGAATTTGTATTGCTCTTAAGTAAAATTTAAATAAAAATAAAATGACAGTACTCTCGTATCGCTGTAAGTTGCCTCGTTGCCCAGCAACGAACAAATAAAGGCAGTTCATGTTGTCGCCTCATTAGGTTTAATACAGGTCAATGTTTTTGTTACACCATGAAAACGGACAGCATCTGAATTAATCTATTGAAAGACGGAAGGCATAGAGCAACAGAAAATGAAGAGTAAGGCACAAGAAAAGCTACTGAAAGCTCTCCATATCATTACCGGAGTCATTTTACATGAGATTGATGAGTTTGAAGCATTTCTGGCTGACCAGGATGTATTTATTAATTTGGAGGTGTATGAGGATCCCCATCATCCTGCATTGATTGTCACTGTGAGTCATTTTCCTTCCACCAAACATAATAACGTGTTGCATAGCGACTTTAAAGGTTCATATAATTTTAGGAAAGCTGACTTTCAGCTGCTCTATGAAATGATTGTGAATATTAGCTGGGGCGATTTGAAAAATTTTAGTGACGTTGATTTAGCTTGTGAATATTTCTATTTTGAGATCTATAGAATTCTTGATTGTTGTGTTCCTAAAGTTAGAATATCTTATAATAGGTATCCTCCTTGGTACAACAGCCATATCATTAGAACCCTCAAACAAAAAATGGTGGCATTCAAGACTTTCAGACGCACTGGTGATACTTATTATATTGAAAAATTTATAAGACTTCGCTTAGAGATAAAGCAACATCTAGCTGTTTCATATCGTCGCTACATTCACTCTTTAGAGTGTGAAATATCAAACAGCTCCGGCAAATTCTGGTCTTTTGTTAATAGAAAAAGAACCTGCACTGGTATTTCGAAGGATATGCTGTACAATGGGCTGGGATTGAATACACCTAATGATGTTGTTGGCGCATTTGCGGGACACTTTAGTGGGAGCTATAATACTCCAACAGCTCAATGTAATTTTTTTGTACTGGCTACCATTTCACTACTACACTAGCTATGCCTAGTGAAATCGATGTGCTACAGGCGCTCAAGAAAATTAAGCCAAAAATGACTGCAGGGCCTGATCAAATACCTGCATTTTTTGTGAGAGATTGTGCGTCCATTTTAGCATATCCACTCATGATAATTTTCAATCTATCTCTGAAAAAAAATCACTTTCCATCTATGGACGAGGAATTAAGTAGAAAACTATCTGGCTATCACAATTATCAGTAATTTCGTTAAAACATTCGAAATAGTGATACAAACTGTGCTATATTTTCATGTAAGCAGGTCTATCTCCGTCAGTCAACACGGTTCCATGAAGGGCATGTCCACAGTTACTAACTTGCTTCATCTTACTCAATATGTTTGTGAATCAATCGATAGACAACTTCAAACGGATGTAATATATACTGATTTCTCTAAAGCGTTTGATAGTTTAGACCATAACATTCTACTCAATGAGTTATCTAGATTTGGTCTTTCAGATGCATTGTTGCTATTTTTCAGATCTTATTTATATCATAGGAAACAATATGTTATGTGCAATGGACATAAGTCAAGCGAATACCCTGTAATGTTCGGTGTTCCTCAAGGATCTAATTTGGGACCTCTGTTATTTATTATGTTCATAAATGATATTTCTGAAGTTATCGATGTCGATTTTCTTATATATGCTGACGATATGAAACTTTTTTGTAGAGTCTCTAACATTGACGATTGTCATCGCTTGCAATGCAACATTGTAAGGGTTGACAACTGGTGTCGTGAAAACAGACTTGTTTCGAATGCTGCTAAGGCCCGTATCGTCAGTCGTCCCTGCAATTGTAGGGCGCGCTTATGTCCTCCTTGATTGTCATCCTGCTTTCTCTCCTTCAAAAATTTCTAGATTACACTTGTCCCGTGTCAGCGTCAGCGCTCTCCTATTGTGAAGATATGCTTTCTTTTTAAATTGTAGGAAATTTCAGGCTGATAAAACTTGATATAACTCAAAAGCAAGCACAATTTGATGCAAATAGATGTTTGTGACATAACCTCAAAATAGAGTTCTGACACAGACAAAACTATGACAATCAAGGAGGCCATAAAGGCACCCTACAATTCTGGGACGACTGACGCTACGGGCCTAAGTGTCACGTTTTGTCGTTTACTTTAAAAACAGGGGTAATGATGTCTGAATATAGTATTGGTCACAGTAAACTTGATAGACCTAGTACAATTAATGATTTGGGAGTGACATTTCACAGAAAACTTTCCTTCTCCTATCACATTGAAAATGCTGTTGTGGCTGCATCAAAGGCGTATGGTTTTATTGTAAGAAATACCATTGATTTCCACAACTCCTATACACTGAAAATACTGTACTGTGCTTATGTAAGATCTAAGCTTGAGTATGCGTCCCTGGTATGGTATCCTCATCATCAAATATATATTGACCGCTTAGAGTCCGTTCAAAGAAAGTTTTTAAAATACCTCTCATACAAAGCTGACGGGATATATCCCGCTATTGGCTTTCTTCATAGTAAGTTGATGGCGAGACACAAAATCTATAGTTTAGAGAGCAGACGCAAAATCAATTCACTTAAGTTCATTCACAAGCTCATCCATGGCATTAATGACTCCAGTGTCATCTTAGAACAACTTAACTTCTTAATTCCTAGATTAGCGTCACGAACTAGTTTAACTTTTTACTTAGCTAGGCCTAGGACTGACATACTTAAGTTTTCCCCTATATATATAATGTGCCGTAATTATAATTCAGTTAATAGCGTTTTAGATATATTTTCGTTTTGTGCGACTTTGGGAGACATTAATGCTTATTTTCGTTAATTCTTGCCGGTGTGATTGTTGAGTGCTGGGTAGGTAAAGCTAGAACGCTTCTTTTTCCCTCCCAGTTCTGTTTTGAGTTTTTTTTGCAGCGTTTTAGCTTTCTCTACATACATCCACAACATGCATTTGTTTATATTTTGACTGCTGCTCGTGTCGCTCGACATCAACAAATCTTCTAGCCTGGACTTGATTCCTGCCGTTGTATTGAAGAGGTGTGCAGAGGATCTTGGTCCAGAAAACTGGATCCGCGGGGGACCTCCTAGCTTACGTCACGCAATTGTATAGTTAGCTGATCCAGTCTCTTGGTGAGTCATGTCGTTGCTCTTGATATCACGGAAGCGTCGCATCAGGTGTGGCACGCAAATTTCCATCCTATGGTCTTTCAAAGAGGCTTTGAAGATAGATGGCTGACTTTCTCTCCGGCCGCAAGATATCCATCGTAATTGATGGCTTCTTCTCTTCATCCCACTGCGCCAACTCGGGTGTTCCCCAGGAATCGGTCTTGACTCCGACACCGTCTCCTACTTACTATCTGCGCCTGTTTTCTAACTCCTATTGTATTACAGGTTATCTAATTTCAGTATTTACAGTCTAATGGGTAAGTCGAATACCTGTCAGTTAACGAAATTGTCGGCATGTGCTTAAGGTCATAGAACTACCAGAAATCTGACGATTGAGTTTTTTGATTAACAGAATTGACTCAAAATTTAGAAGATGCAATACATAATGCAAAACGCACAATATGTCGTCTATTTTTACACAAGCTTTTCCGGGTTGTCGAAGAAAGCCTGCATCTAGAGGTGAATCCTGTTGATGAAGTATCAATCCTACCTGAACTGCTGATCCAGTAACGAATGGTTCCTGGCCATTCTGATAACTAATGCATCCATATCCATAGGCTGCATGCTACTCAGACCATAAGCGCTTTTGAAAGAATATTGAGTGTACCATTGCGGATCTGCTACTGGATCCTCGTTTGCTAAAGTGAGGTTGAATGTGTACTGGAACATATCAACGACGTTCTACAACAAAGCAGAGTAAATAATTATTGGTTTTGAAAGTGGAGAGAAGGTTATATAAGAAACAGTTCAACAGATTGATTAAACCGCTGAGATTCTTGAACTATGGCAAGGGCAGTGTATACCTTTTCGAAACCAAAATTATCCATCATTGTTGCGTGTATAAGGGAAATAGGGTTTATGATCAAGCACAAAAGATTAAACGTGTGACAATGTTAATGTGCTTTCGTGTCAAATAAAGTCATCCATCAAATTTTGGAAAATGTCGGCCTTTTTCGTTTATTTTTGGAGATACTCTGAATTGCGAAACTTTCTACGTGCCGTTTTTTAGCCACTTAAATACACAATTTTGTCCCCATTCAAACGACTTCGTGTCTCGTATGTTCGTAAGAATATGCGGACCTATGTTTATATACTAAGTGACAAATAAATCCGAACACCCAGTTTAAATGGTTTTATTTTAATAAAATTTTGTATAAGTACTTAATGAAGCATAATAAGTAAATGATAAAAATTTCAAAATGATTGCACTGCTTTAAAGTCCATTGGCCTTTAATAATGTGTGGATGCACCCTGATGTGCTACGCATTGTCCAACGCGCCTAGGCATGCTTCTGATCAGGTGGTCAATGTCCTCCTGTGGTATCTCATTCCAGGCAACCACCAACTCCTCTTGAAGTGCTTCTAGAGTTTGAGGAGGACGTTGCAAATTGAGCAATCTCCTACCCATCATATCCCACACGTGCTCAATTGGGGATAATTCGGGAGATCTTGGTGGGCATGGTAACAATGTGACATCATTATGTTGAAAGAAGTCTATTGTGACTCTTGCAACATGTAGTTGGGCATTACCTTGTTGGAAAGTTGGATCTGCCAGGGTGTCAAGATAGGGTAAAAGATGGGGTTCTAGAACTTCGTAGATATAACGCTGCGCGTTCATGTTACATCTGATGAAGATTAGAGGTGACCTGGAACCATAAGCTATAGCACCCCAAACCATAACTCCAACAGTGTGATGAACATGTCTTTCAACAAAAAACTGTGGATTCCTCCTTTCACCACGTCGCCTTCTAACCCAGACACCACCATCGTGCATGCCTAAACAAAATCGAGACTCGTCACTAAAGACAATACTGTTTCATTCCTGATCCCAGAGTGACCGTTGTCTGCACCACTCAAGGCGATTACGTCGGTGTTCTCGAGTTAAAGGGAGGACCCAGTGTGGCCGGTATGAAAACAAGCCAAAACTTCTCATTCGTCGGCAAACACTTCGCATGCCAATAGGTCTTCCGTGTTCTGCAAACCATTCATTTGCAATGGACCTGGTAGTGGAGAAACGGTCCCTTAAGGCCAATAATCTTAGGCGGCGATCTTCACGGTCTGTTGTTCTACGGCGGCATCCAGTGCCCCTTGCTCTTTGCGTACGGCCTTCTCGAAGCCATGCCTGACAACACCTAACCACAGTGTCTACACTTCTTTGCACTCTAACTGCAACTGCCCGAAAAGAAAGTCCAGCTTCCCGAAGTCCCACTATACGGCCCCTATCAAACTCACTAAGTTGACGAAATCGTACAGGTATCCGTACTCTAGGCATCGTAACCGATCGTAAAGGATGTCAAGAACCAAAATCCGCCAACGTTGATTCTTTACTGCGGCTGAAATATTCATTTTTAGAGCGTTAGTGAATTAAAAAGAAAGCAGTATAAAAACCGGAATGTCCAACTGATATGGCTGAAAGTTTTTTCACTTGTTATTTACAGTAAGATAAATACATTCACCAACTTTTATTAAAATAAAACCATTTAAACTGGGTGTTCGGATTTATATGTCACTTAGTATATGAACTTGTTGTCTTGAAATTACTCTAACGATCGTGTATTGAATTTATGACACATAATTAACACCCTGTATATTATAGTCACTTTTTCAGGATATATCACTTGCTTAGAACAAAAGTGCGCCTTTCTCGATTTCTTTTCTGTGCTAATTCCGACTTCTACTAACTATGACACGATAGAATAAAACCAAAAGTATATGATAGTGACTTACATATGCTATGCTATCTACGGTGTAAATTTTATAACTAGGATTAGAAAGGTCAGTATTGACGGATGCTCCATTGAATCCAACTCCAATTGCTTCAAGTTCGTTTGAGCTGTTGTAATGTATGTAGAACTCATCCATGTGAGTGTGACCGTAGAACTGGGCTGCTACAATGTGTGAGAATCTGCAACGAAAGTGGAATCTCTCGCCTATCTGCTGCCACTAATATCACGGACCGATTATTTTACCATTTAAAATTCCTGTCCAATGGTTTATCTTGAAGCGGTACTGAGATTTATCAAATGTTGGTTTGCTACGTGCCACTCGTGTAAGTTATGCAGGTTCATGTACCCATCTTTCTTAAATGTGGTCTCATCCGACCATAAAATTTTTTCAAAGAACTGTGGATCTTTCCTATGTCTTTCTAACATTGTGCGACAGAAAGCAACTCGGGGCTCATAATCCCGGCGCAGGAGATGTTGAACACGCTGTATGTGGCATGGATGAAGCACATCACTTACTTGCTATTGCACACTTTGATACCGATCAGTACTCCTTCGTTTACTGCGCATCTTTACTTGTTCGTGCTTGTTGATTTCGTACTGTTACTAATTTTGGATTCGTGAACTATACTGTTGATCGCTTGTGATTTGGATTTGGACTGTTTAATTGCTCTTCAAAACAACATTTGCTTTCCTTAGACTATCTTTGATAGTGTGATTGTGCAGTGCCGCTATGTCGGTGTACACCGTACATGAATATGCTAACATGCACCTCATTTATGGGGAATGCAAACGCTAGTGCTGCAGCGAGACTTTACTGTGAGAGGTACCCGAATGCAGCTCGTCATCCAGATCATCGAGTGTTCACAAATGTGCACGGCTTACTGTTCTCAGAGGGCCATCTACCAAACCAATCACACGGTGAGGGAAGATCTTTCCTTCCTTACGAAGACGTGGTGCTAGGAGCTGTCGAAGAAGACCCGAATACTTCAGTTGCTGCAATAGAACTAAAAACAGGTGTGCCCAAAAGTACAGCCCATAGAATCTTGCAAAAAAACGTGCTCCCTCCGTACCACGTACAGCGTGTTCAAGCTCTTCTGCCCCGGGATTATGAGCCCCGAGTTGCTTTTTGTCGCACAATGTTAGAAAGACACAGGGAAGATCCACGGTTCTTTGAAAAAATTTTATGGTCAGATGAGACCACATTTAAGAAAGATGGGTACATGAACCTGCATAACTTACACGAGTGGCACGTAGCAAACCCACATTTGATGAGAGAAGATAAATCTCAATATCGCTTCAAGATAAACCATTGGACAGGAATTTTAAATGGTAAAATAATCGGTCCGTTTGAGTTCCCAGAGACTTTGACTGCTGAGGTTTATTTAGGTTTTTTGCAAAATTATTTAGAAAATTTATTGGAGGACGTGCCACTGAGTATTTACAGGGACATGTGGTTTCAGCATGATGGCTGCCCAGCGCACTATGCACTCTCAGTGAGAGGGTATCTCGATCAAAACTTTCCAGGCAGATAGATAGGGCGGTCTGGTACAATACCGTGGCTCGGTCACCAGATTTGAATCCGTTATATTTTTTTTACTGGGGAACTGTAAAAGAAAAAGTGTATTTCAAGCCGATTCAAAATGTAGCTGAGCTACGGCAAAGACTATTGGAAGTAGCTGAGTTTGTTAATAACCGTGGATTCGCTCGTTTAATAACCCGATCTTTTTTAAGAAGATGTCGAGCGTGTATTGCGGCTGAAGGAAAACAGTTTGAGCATTTGCTGTAAAGGTAAATCATCATCAGCAGCATTTTAACGCCCACTGTTGTGCAAACAGTTATCCTTAAGGGTCCTTGTGCGTTTTCATAATCGCTGTTAAATTAGGAAATTTTGAAAAATTTTCATCAGTTTTTCTTCAAATAAAAATTGTGCATAAGTTAACGAGTAATCTTCTAAGTGTTATACCATTTTGGAATCCTTATTAAATGCGCCAACTTTTAAGGTTACTTGCCAAACTCTCGTAGTACATTTTTTTCCAGTACAGCCAGTTAAAGTTGAGCAAAGTTTTACTTTGGAATACTTGGTTGGGAAATAAGTGGCAATTTTTCCTGAACGAGAAAAGTTGGCAGTAAGGTTGAGATACCAGTTTGAAGATGCATTATTGATCATTACATTGTAAAAATAAAATCCAAAAAAAGTTAATATTTGTAGTAACAGGAGTTGACAGACTGCCGTAGGGTGTGAAATTTCTATATTTTTTCAAAGACCTATAATTTTCAAAACACATACATAAAATTTTTTTAAATATTTTTCTGATAGCTGTTATGACTTTGCCTATCACCCGGTTTCGGCTTGACGTCGACTTCTGGGACACCCTGTATGTAAATGACAACTCTGGTCAGGTACCGCCCCCATGAGCTGACCCTTATTTGTGACTCTCCTGGTATATTTTGGGAAAAACGTTCGGACACGTCTTTTCATCTATAGCCGTACAATACAGGATGATCCAAAAAAGAGAATGTGGCAAAAAGTGGTGTCCATTTAGCTATCTCCATGCAATGATAAAGAATCTCGAATCGATTCCTCACATTTTCAAGCATGTCTTGAGTTATTTGTCTACATTCAGCATTCCGCTGACGAAGATCTTGCATGGAATCTGGCTTCGTACTAAAAACTTTATTTTTCAAATGCCCCCAAAGAAAGTAATCTAAAGGACTTGGGGCCGGAGATCTCGACGACCACTCGATCAGGCCTCGTCTGCCGATCCTCTGATTTGGGAAATAGGTGTCCAAAAACTGTCGTTCTGGAGCCATATACAGGGTTATCCAAATTAAGTGTCCACCATTAGTAACTTTGTTATTAGTGAAAATACAAAGTTGTTTGAATTAGCAAACTAGTAGCATTTTTAACGCTGGTAAAAATGAGAAATAAAAAAAAAACAATGAGAGTCGTTATTTTGATTTGTTTCAGTAAAATAACATTTTTTTAAATGGAAACCCCTGTATATTATATTTTTTTCTGTTAAAGCATCAAATTTTAAACAAAAAAGCTTACAATAACTTTTCTCCTAGGTTACAAATTGTTGAAGTTATGGCCTCCAATCTGAAACAATTAAATTGTATCGACAAACTTTATTTTCAACATCAACTTATAATCTTACAAAATACAATAACAATTTTTTTTAAAGAAGATGCTCGAAAACACCACCTTGTTCTTCAATACATTTTTGGGCACGTTTTTCAACTGCTCGAACTGTCTTAAGTATGGTCCTACCATCTATCTGGGTTATCTTTTCCCTAACTGCAGTCTTTAACGCGTCAAGGTTATCGTACCTTCGCTTGTAAATGTGGTTCTTTAAGTAACCCCACAAGAAGTAATCAAGTGGGTTTAGATCTGGTGATCTGGGAGGCCACTGTATTGGGCCATTTGTTCCTATCCACTGATCATTAAAAGTAGTACTTAGAAAATGATAAGTACCTCTGGAGTTGTGGGCAGGTGCGCCATCTTGCTGAAAATGCAGATGATGTCTACTTATAAGATCCAATTCGTCTAAGAAATTAGTCAGAATTTCTGACATAAATTCCACATATCTTTCACCAGTTAGGGTTCCCTCATAAAAGAACGGGCCAACAATTTTTGAACCAATTATACCGCACCAAACGTTGAAACTGAAACGGACTTGTGGGCCTCTTGGATGTACTAACAAAAGATTTTCTCTTGACCAATAATGGTGGTTTTTTCTATTAATCATTCCAGAATTTGAAAAATTTGATTCATCTGTCCATAAAAGGTAACGAAAGTTATTTACATTTTGGCGACAGAAGCTAAGATACCAATGGCAAAAAACAAGTCTTCTCTCTGGATCCCCTGCCAAAAGCGTTTGAACTGGTCGGTACTTATACGGAATAAATTTGTATTTTTTTAAAATCCTTTGAACAATACCATAACTGAAATTAGAGTCCTTGAGAATATCTGCTATTGAATTCTCACGATAAGCTTCAAAATATCCAATAACTGCAATTTCCGTGGCCTCGCTTATTATGAATTCTTTATTTGCCCTTGTTTTAGCAAAAACATTTTCGTTGCCCCTAAATTTTCGATAAAGTCTCAGAAAATATCGTTCATACGGTTGAATGCGAGCGGGATATAATTCACTGTAGTATTCTCTTGCTCTCAAGGAGGATTTTCTGCACACTAAATAGCATTCTAACATATCACACTTTTCTTCATGGGAGAACATTTTTCTTTAAATTAATGACACAATAAAGCTTATAAACAAGTATTTACACTAATGTTTGACATTATTTGATTTTATCATTGTTTTCCAAAGCCTTCTAGTTGCAAGTATGTCCAGTTTAACAATTTGTCGCTTATCTTAATGCTGTCAAATCGCGAACGCCATGTTGTTTTCATAGCCGTCTTAATATTATAATACTGCAAATAATTAAAAATATTTATCGTTATTTTGACTTTATTTTTGACTTTAGCGGAAAAGTCATTATGAACTTTTTTGTTTAAAATTTGATGCTTTAACAGAAAAAAATATAATATACAGGGGTTTCCATTTAAAAAAATGTTATTTTACTGAAAAAAATCAAAATAACGACTCTCAATTGTTTTTTTTTTATTTCTCATTTTTACCAGCGTTAAAAATGCTACTAGTTTGCTAATTCAAACAACTTTGTATTTTCACTAATAACAAAGTTACTAATGGTGGACACTTAATTTGGATAACCCTGTAGTGCGCCGGTGTATCATCTTGTCGGAAATGGATGTAATTTTCATTATCATTTCCTATTATTTCGGTTGTTCGTGGACCTATTGTGTTTTCTAACATGTCTAAGTACGTCTCGCCCGTCAAGTTTCCAGGAATAAACAAAGGTTCTCCAATATGATTTCCGAAAATATCGGCGCACATTTTTATTTTTTTAGGATATTGCGAGTGTACCTCTCGAACTAAAAGTGGATTCGAGTCACTCCAATATCGACCATTATGTCTATTTACAGCACCGTGTAAATAGAACGTACACTCGTCCGAGAAACAAATATAAAATAACAGATTTGCATTGCTGATTAAACGTTAGGACATTAACTCGCAAAACTGTGAAACTTATTGTCTTTCAAAATTCTTTGTACTGTTACGCGTGAAGAAGTCGCCAGTCGACGAGTTCCTTGTGTGTT